AAAATGTCTGCAGCATTGAAGGTCCCCAAGAACACAGTAGCCTCTATCATTCTTAAATGGAAGAATTTTGGAACGACCAAGACTCTTCCTAGAGCTGTGCCTCGTAAGAATCCGACGGCGAGTGGGTAACCCGCCTCTACCATCAGTCTTTTTAGCCAACGCGCAATCATTGGATAATAAACTGGATGAGCTCCGATCAAGACTATCCTACCAATGGGACATTAAAAACCGTAAAATCTTCTGTTTCACCGAGTTGTGGCTGAACGACGACATGTATAACATACAGCTGGCTGGGTTTTCCGTGCATCGGCAAGATAGAACAACTGCCTCTGGTAAGACGGCCTGTGTCTATTTTTCAATAACAGCTGGTGGACGAAATCAAATAATGTAGTCTTGAGGTTTTACTCGCCTGAGGTAGAGTATCTCAAGATAAGCTGTAGACCACACTATTTACCAAGAGAGTTTTCATATATGTTTCGTAGCTGTCTATTTACCACCACAAACCGATGCTGGCACTAAGACCGCTCTCAACGAGCTGTATAAGGCCATAAGCAAACAAGAAAATGCTCATCCAGAGGCGGCGCTCCTAGTGGCCGGGGACTTTAATGCAGGGACACTTAAATCCGTTTTAACTCATTTCTACCAGCATGTCACATGTGCAACCAGAGCAAAAAAACACTCTAGACCACCTTTACTACACACAGAGACGCGTACAAAGCTCTCTCTCGCCCTCAATTTGGCAAATCTGACCATAACTCCATCCTCCTGATTCCTGCTTATAAGCAAAAACTAAAGCAGGTAGTACCAGTGACTTCCTCAATACGGATGTGGTCAGATGACGCAGATGCTAAGCTACAGGACTGTTTTGCTAGCACAGACTGGAATATGTTCCGGGATTCTTCCGATGGCATTGAGGAGGACACCACATCAGTCACTGGCTTCATCAATAAGTGCATCGATGACGTCGTCCCAACACCGTACGTACGTATTCGAACCAGAAGCCATGGATTACAGGCAACATCCGCACTGAGCTAAAGGGTAGAGCTGCCACTTTCAAGGAGCGGGACTCTAACCTGGACGCTTATCAGAAATCCCGCTATGCCCTCCGACGAACCATCAAACAGGCAAAGTGTCAATACAGGACTAAGATTGAATCCTACTACACCTGCTCCGATGCTCGTCGGATGTGGAAGGGCTTGCAAACTATTACGGACTACAAAGGGAAGCACAGCCGCGAGCTGCCCAGTGACACGAGCATACCAGACAAGCTACATTACTTCTACGCTCGCTTCGAGGCAATCAACACTGAAGAATGCATGAGAGCACCAGCTGTTTTCTGGATGACTGTGTGATCAATCTCTCCGTAGCCAACGTGAGTGAGACCTATAAACAGGTCAACATTCACAAGGCCGCAGGGCCAGACGGATTACCAGGACGTGTCCTCAGAGTATGCGCTGACCAACTGGCAAGTGTCTTCACTGACATTTTCAACCTGTCCCTGACCGAGTCTGTAATACCAACATGTTTCAAGCAGACCACCATAGTCCCTGTGCCCAAGAACACCAAGGTAACCTGCCTAAATGACTACCGACCCGTAGCACTCAAAAGGTTTTGAAAGGCTGGTCATGGCTCATATCAACACCATCATCCCAGAAACCCTAGACCCACTCCAATTCGCATACCGCCCCAAAAGATCCACAGATGATGCAATCTCTATTGTACTCCACACTGCCCTTTCCCACATAGACAAAAGGAACACCTACGTGAGAATGCTATTCATTGACTACAGCTCAGCGTTCAACACCATAGTGCCCTCAAAGCTCATCACTAAGCTAAGGACCCTGGCACTAAAAACCTCCCTCTGCAAAAATTGCCAAAGACTCCAACCACCCTAGTCATAGACTGTTCCCTCTGCTACCGCACAGCAAGCAGTACAGGAGCGCCAAGTCTAGGTCCAAAAGGCTTCTTAACAGCTTTTACCGCCAAGCCGTAAGACTGCTGAACAGCTAATCAAATAGCTACCCAGACTATTTTCATTGACCACCCCCCTTTTTTGTACGCTGCTGCTACTCACTGTTCATTATCTATTACCGGTACCCCCTGTATATAGACTCGTTATTGTTATTTTATTGTTACTCTTTTATTTTTTTACTTTAGTTTATTTAGTAAATATTTTCTTAACTCTTATTTTTCTTAAAAGTGCATTGTTGGTTAAGGGCTTGTAAGTAAGCATTTCACTGTAAGGTCTACACTAAAATGTGATTTTATTTGATTTACACAGGCTCAGGGGCATATGAGGGTGGAACATTCACTGACAGGATTTCTTGCAAGGCCTCAGTGTGAAATCACAAAGACCCAAAAAACATTCAGCTGCATTTACAATTATTCAAATTTTCTCCGCTTATGCTGTACAGTTTATGACCATTGCAATAAATAATACAAAGTCAATCTTTTTAAAATGTAACATTTCATGATCCATCGGTTGATGAGTAATCTTCACTGGTCATGTTGGCTCTACTACCATTGTTTCTTCCTCGCTACTCGTTCCTTCCATTGTTCTCACCACCTCCAGATGGGTGTCCAGCGTTTCTCCTCTTAATCTTGCCACCTCGTTCTCCTTCACCCTAACAGGGCACTCCAATTCGGACGCATGTTCGCCACCACAATTGCAGCATTTCACTTCATCTGGCATATGATACTCCCATCTACACACACTTGACACGACCAAATCTTCTGCATTTATGACATGGAAGGGGCTTGTGCACTAAAGCTCGTACAGGGTATCTCATCAAACCTAACTTTAGAAGGGAGAGACTCTTCATCAAAGAACAGTAGTATGGATGAAGTTAATTTCCATCCACCATATGGGTCAGTCAACGTGTACCAAACCCTCCATCTATGTATTCTGTTATATCATCTGCCTTTACTTCTTTCGCCACCCCAGAAATAACCCCCTTGATAGGCGCCCTGCTTCGAAAATCCATACAGGAAACATTCCACTCTGATATCTTTTTGAGGCTTAAAACACGCTTCTTTTTTTGTTGTTGTTTTTTTCATCTTTATTTAACTAGGCAAGTCAGTTAAGAACCAATTCTTATTTACAATGACGGCCTACCCAAAGTGAAAAGGCCTCATGCGGGGACGGGGGCTGGGATTTAAAAAATACATATAATAAATATAGGACCAAACACACATCACAACAAGAGAGACAACACAACACTACATAAAGAGAGACCTAAGACAACAACATAGCATGGCAGTAACACACGACAACACAGCAAGGTAGCAACCCAACATGAAAACAACATGGTAGCAACACAACATGGCAGCAGCACAACATGGTAGCAGCACAAGACATGGTACAAACATTACTGGGCACAGACAACAGCACAGAGGGCAAGAAGGTAGAGACAACAATATATGCTAAGCAGCCACAACTGTCAGTAAGAGTGTCCATGATTGAGTCTTTGAATGAAGAGATGGAGATAAACTAGACAGTTTTGAGTGTTTTTTGCAGCTCATTCCAGTTGCTAGCTGCAGGGAATTGGAAAGAGGAGAGACCCAGGGTTGTGTGTGCTTTGGGGACCTTTAGCAGAATGTGACTGGCAGAACGGGTGTTGTATGTGGAGGATGAGGGCTGCAGTAGGTATCTCAGAAAGGGGGGGAGTGAGGCCTAAGAGTGTTTTGTATATAAGCATCAAGCAGTGGGTCTTGCGACAGGTATACAGAGATGACCAGTTTACAGAGGAGTATAGAGTGCGGTGATGTGTCCTATAATGGAGCATTGGTGGCAAATATGATGGCCGAATGGTAAAGAACATCTAGCCGCTCGAGAGCACCCCTACCTGCCAATCTATAAATTATGTCTCCGTAATCTAGCATGGGTAGGATGGTCATCTGAATCAGGGTTAGTTTGGCAGTTAGGGTAAAAGAGGATTGATTACGATAGAGGAAACTAAGTCTAAATGTAACCTTAGCCTGCAGCTTTGATATGTGCTGAGAGAAGGACAGTGTACTGTCTAGCCATACTCCCAAGTACTTGTATGAGGTGACTACACTGGTGGGGAGAGGGGCATTCTTCTTACCAAACCACATGACCTTTGTTTTGGAGGTGTTCAGAACAAGGTTAAGGGCAGAGAAATCTTGTTGGACACCAAGAAAGCTTTGTTATAGAGTGTTTAACACAAAATCCAGGGAGGGACCAGCTGAGTATGAGACTGTATCATCTGCATATAAATGGATGAGAGAGCTTCCTACTGCCTGAGCTATATTGTTGATGTAAATTGAGAAGAGCGTGGGGCCTAGGATCAAGCCTTGGGGTACTCCCTTGGTGACAGGCAGTGGCTGAGATTGCAGATGTTCTGACTTTATACACTGCACTCTTTAAGAGAGGTAACCAGGCCAAATACCCCTCAGAGACACCAATACTCCTTAGACGGCGGACAAGGATGGAATGGTCTACCGTATCAAAAGCTAAGTCAATAAAAATAGCAGGACAACATTGCTTAGAATCAAGGGCAATGGTGACATCATTTAAGACCTTTAAGGTTGCAATGACACATCCATAACCTGAGCGGAAACCAGATTGCATACCAGAGAGAATACTATAGACATCAAGAAAGCCAGAATATTGACACGTTTTTCCAACTCTTTTGATAAACAGGGCAAAATAGAAATTGGCCTATAACAGTTAGGATCAGCTTGATCTCCCCTTTTAAATAAAGGATGCACCGTGGCTGCCTTCCAAGCAATGGGAACCTCCCCAGAGAGGAGAAACAGGTTAAAATGTTCAGAGACAGGCTTGGCGATGATAGGCGCTGCAACCTTAAAGAAGAAAGGGTCTAAACCATCTGACCCAGATGTTTTTTGGTGTCAAGTTTAAGGAGCTCCTTTAGCACCTCGGGCTCCGCGACCGCCTGCAGGGAGAAACTTTGTAGTGGGGCAGGGGAAAAAGAGGGAGGAGCATCGGGGCTAGTCACATTAGAAGGACTGGGAGATTATGAAATGTTGGACGGGCAAGGAGGCATGGCTGAGTCAAATAGGAATCCTGACTTAATGAAGTGGTGATTAAAGAGCTCAGCCATGTGCTCTTTGTCAGTAACAACCACATCATCAACATTAAGGGACATGGGCAGCTGTGAGTAGAAGGGTTTATTCTCCAGGTCTTTAACCGTTTTCCAGAACTTCTTGGGGTTAGACCCACAGAGAGAGTTTAAAGTACTTTAAAGAAAGTATCACTGCCTCCTTCTCACAAATGATCCAAAAAATATAAACATTTAAGAAAGTTGGTTCAACACAGTGGCGGGTCATTTTGACCCTAGGACAATGGGAGGGTTAAAGTAACTAGTTTTAGCCTTCTGGATAGCCAGAGTGCACTTATTTCTAATTTGCCTGAACGAGAGCCAGTCAGCCTGAGTAAGCGTGTGCCAAGCATTTAGCCAAATGGAATTCTTGAAGTGGAGTAACTCTGCCAGATCACGGTCAAACCAGGGGCTGAACCTGTTTTAAATTCTCATTTTCTTTATGGGGGTGTGTTTGTTAGCAATACCACTGAAAATATCAAAAAAGCAGGTGCAAGCGTCTTTGACAGAGGGGATCAAGCTGATTATATACCAATTTACAGAGGCCAGGTCATGAAGGAAGGCTTGCTCATTAAAGTTTTTTAGCAAGTGTCTATGACAAATAAGGACAGGTCGTTTCACTGAGTAGCCATTACGAACACAGGCTGTAAAACAGTGATCACTAAGGTCATTACAGAAAACATCAGACTGATACCTATCAGGATTATCTGTGAGGATAACATCAAGGAGAGTAGCCTTTTCTGGGTGTTTGGAGTCATTCATTGTGGGATTTGTAATAATCTGAGAAAGATTTAGGGAGTCCCATTGCTTTAGGACTTGGTCAGGTGGTTTAAGCATGTCCCAGTTTAGGTCACCTAGCAGGACAAATTCAGACTTAGTGTAAGGGGCCAGGAGAGAGCTTAAGGCAGGTAGGGTACATGCCGGTGCTGATGGTGGACGATAACACCCAGCAACAGTCAACAAAGAGCTATTTGAAAGTTTAATGCTTACAACCAGCAAATCAAATTGTTTGGGGACAGACTTAATGGAGACAACCGAGCACTGAAGGTATTCCTTCGTAAAGATTGCTACTTTACCACCTTTGGAAGATCTGTCTTGCCAAAAAAGGTTATAACCAGAAAGGTTAACATCAGTGTTCAAAACACTCTTTCTTAACCACGTCTCAGTAATGACCAACACATCTGGATTGGAGCTGTGAACATACACTTTCAATTGATCCATTTTAGGTAATAAGCTTATTGTGTTAACGTACAGAAAGCCCAGGCTTTTACAAGAGCAGAAATCAGTGACGCAGATATTAGAGCACAATTCTGAATTGGGGCTAGCAACAGTAGATGGGCCAGGGTGTACACATTTCCAGATATCATCAGCAGTAATACAATCATGGCACGGCCGAGGACAGGGAGAGCCCTGCAGTGTTGATTTTCTATGACATTTGAATGTGCATCAAATGGCAACAAGATCATATTGTACAGCAATTTCATCAGGTAACATGAATACAAAGCCGGCGAGAGGCGGTTAGAATAGGATGGGAGTCCAAGAGACCGTGTAACCAATAGAGAGTCAGAGTCCCGAGTGTGGGAACAAACATAGTCTGTCCCACAGGCGGGTAAACAAGCAAGGTCATACTCAACAATGAGGAGTCATGAGGCAAATAGCACAATAAAAAAATTACTACTTGGGCTATCCATCGTAAGTTCAGAGTCACTCGCCCCAACAGATCGTGTGTGCTGGAGGCGAGCGAAAGCTCAGGAGAGAGGGGGGAGTGTGGCAGGGGTACCTGTACCAGACAGGGGGAGACATGGCAGACGGTGAACAGATTGCCAGGTGGAATCCAAGCAGCTGTGAAGCAGGCAACGGGAGTAGGTGTCACACCCACTTGGGAGAAACTTTTTCGGGCACAGCAAGTTAGGAAAATTGACATAGTAGGTTAGGAGAATTAGGTTAAGGTTATAAAAAGGGTTAGGGTTCATGTTAATTTGACAAAAGCTGGATCCCTTTTGGCCATGACCCACAAATAGTAGCTAGCTAGCACAAACCTTCGGAGTTCGGACATCGTTTGCAGCTAACATCATGAATAGGGCGCATAAATCATCACACACACACATTTTCAAAATGTTATAACAACCCTTCTACACTAAAACGAGTGACAACTGCAACCTGTTAAATGTTACGATCTTGTGGAGCAGCGCTAACGTTAGCTAGCATTGTTCAGCCCATAGAAAGCCAGCCAGCTAATAACTTTAGCTTGCTTGGTATCAACTCGAAATCGGCTTGCTAATCAAATGTTTGTTTTAGTTATAAATTAACTAGTTTTCTAATTATAGGCTGAACATTTCCTTACCCCACTGAAGTTATTCATTTTCCTTCTTGGATGTCCTCTGTTCACATAGCAGGGCAATGATGTGAATCAACTATGCATTCAAGGTAGCTAGCTACTATTGAACTACCCAAGTTCACTTCTGGCAAGTTTCCTTCCTGCCCCCTAATTTTAGCAATGCATAAACATGAAGTCCCTAAACATGAATAGATCATAGTCAACTCAATATTAAGAAGGTGTTCCTAATGTTTGGTATAATTAGTGTATGTCATCACTATGTTGATAGGTTAATTTCAGTCAATAATTTTGAATGAAAAGTTCTAGGTAGCCTAGCCAGCACATTTGTGGCACACCTAGTATGTCAGTGGTGGACTGCTGGCTTGGGTCTCTGAGCTTTTCCGTTGTCTGTTGTCATCCACAACACCCTCTTCCAGGTACTTCCTACATCTTCTCTGCGTCTTACATCAGGAGAAGTGTAGAGAAGAGACAGAGGAGGGGAAAAAATAAGTGGTGTAAAGTACTTACGTCGTTTTTTGGGGTATCTGTACTTTATTTTACTATTTAAATGTTTGACTACTTTTACTTTTACTTCACTACATTCCTAAAGAAAATATTGTACTTTTTACTCCATACATTTCCCGGACAACCAAAAATGCTTAGCAGGACAGGAAAATTGTCAAATTCACACACTTTGCAAGAGAACACTTGGTCATCCCTACTGCCTCTGGGCTGGCGGACTCACTAAACACAAATGCATCTTTTGTAAATAATGTTAGAGTGTTGGAGTGTGGCCCTGGCTATCCATAAATTAAAAACAAGAAAATGGTGCCGTCTGCTTTGCTTAATATATGGAATTTTAAATGATTTAAACGTTTACTTTTGATACTTAAGTATATTTTAGCAATTACATTCACTTTTGATACTTAAGTATATTTAAAACCAAATACTTTTAGACTTTTACTCAACTAGTATTTTACTGGCTGACTTTCACTTTTACTTGAGCAACTTTCTATTAAGGTCTTTCCATTAAGGTATCTATACTTTTACTCAAGTATGACAATTGGGTACTTTTTCCACCACTGGAAAAAAGAGGGAGGTCATGATGCCCGGGGGTCATGATGCCTGTACTGAAGGGCAAGTGGGCAGGCATCACCACAGACACCTACATGGGCTTCTGTTGTTAAGTTACTTGAGGAACACCTTGTCTCAATAAATCATTCCATAGACATTCCCTTCCTAAACCAGACTATATAGTATTGTACAGACATACACAAAAACAGACAAACACATGCACGCATATATAAGCACTCACATTCAAGCAAATGTTGTAGTTCATACAATTACAAAGATTTATACCGTTAATTTTTTACTTGACCCAATGGGTTGGAGGACCTTGCGGATTTGGTCCTCCGTCCACCACAGCCTTTAACGGGGACACGACTGTCAGAATTGGTGTCACGCCCTGACTCTGGGGACTCTTATTTGTTGAGTCAGGGTGGGATTTTCTATGTTGTAGTTTCTATGTTTGTGATCTAGGTTTTCTAGATCTATGTTGGCCGGTGTGGTTCCCAATCAGAGGCTGCTGTCGCTCGTTGTCTCTGATTGGGGACCATACTTAGGCAGCCTATTGGTACTAGTGGGTTGTGGGATCTTGTTCTGTGTGAGGTATGTTGTTTGTGTACCTTGGACTTCACGTTTTGGTTAGTTTGTTGTTTTGTCGTTGTTTATTCGGTTCAAATAAACATCTATGCATATCACGCTGCGCCTTGGTCCGTCCCGTCTATGAACAAACGTGACAGAAGATCCCACCAAACAAGGACCAAGCAGCATGCCCAAGAGGAGCGAATAGCCATGTCACAGGTGGGCAAATGGTGGTCATGGGAGGAGATATTTGCGGGGAAAGGGCCATGGGCGAAGGTAGATGCCCAGGCAGGAGAGGAGAAACGGCGCCAACCGTGCCGACGACAGAGACCCGAGAGACAACCCCAATATTTTTTTTTGGGGGGGGCACACGGGGTGGATGACGAGGCAGTAGGAGGCCGTGGAAGGGCAAATCTGCAGGTTAGGAGAGGAGGCCACCATGTTACGGGGGCTATTGGTTCAGGGGGAGCAGGAGTTATTCGGTCAGAGGGAGGCGCTACAGGAGGCTAAAAAGGGAGAAGGAAAGTGTGAGCACGGCGAGAGGAGCTGGTTATGCAGCAGAAGGAGCGGGGATTAATAAAGGAACCCAGTCCCGCTCCTCGTGCCAGTCCGGTCCGGCCCGTTCCTGCTCCCCGCACCAAGCCAGTGGTGCGCGTCGCCAGCCCGGCCCGGCCTGTTCCTGCCCCTCGCACCAAGACAGTGGTGCGCGTCGCCATTCCATTCAAAGGTCGGAGTCCGCACCTTTGGGGGGGGGGGGGGGGGTACTGTCACGCCCTGACTCTGGGGACTCTTATTTGTTGAGTCAGGGTGTGATTTTCTATGTTGTATTTTCTATGTTTGTGATCTAGGTTTTCTAGATCTATGTTGGCCGGTGTGGTTCCCAATCAGAGGCAGCTGTCGCTCGTTGTCTCTGATTGGGGACCATACTTAGGCAGCCTATTGGCACTAGTGGGTTGTGGGATCTTGTTCCGTGTGAGGTATGTTGTTTGTGTACCTTTGACTTCACGTTTCGTTTAGTTTGTTGTTTTGTCGTTGTTTATTCGGTTAAAATAAACATGTATGCATATCACGCTGCGCCTTGGTCCGTCCCGTCTATGAACGAATGTGACAATTGGAGGCTGTTTTCCTAGCTTCTTGAAGACCAGAACTAGCTAACTAGCTGCTAAATGAGGCTTTTGCCCAAATCCTGTTGACAAGACCTCCAATACATCCTCCCCTAGAACAAAGGCTTGAAATGCTTCAAGTTGCTCCTATTTTAATTAAATCCCTACGTTGGTTGTTACTATGTGGCAGTGTCATCTCTCTATCTCCTTTCAGAAAGATTCATCACAGAGTTTTTCCCCCACAGTTTTAGTTAGCTAGGCTAGCTAACTTTAGCATGGCTGGTTTACCTCTCTAGTAGGGGCGTAGAAAATGCAAATTGCGTGCATATGAGAACCAATCAAAAAGTAGCTCAAAGTCTCTCTTTAGCTAACCTCCCCTTTTACAAGCCCGAGATACCAGACCACTGAGTCACAGCTCGCTGTGTAGTCACGTGGGTTGTGTGTAAACCAGGCAAGGAAATTGTATGAACTAAAATATCTAACTATTTCCGGTATAGTAGACAACCTCTGACCAGAGATTCCATTCCAGGTATGATGCCATGCGATTCACTTTAAGCTGGAGGTTTCCCTTTTCCACTGAGCAGTCTCCCTCCAGTCTCCCTGCCCGCTCCTCTCTCCATAGATTCATCTGAGAGCCTGGCTTTACATAGTGCATTTAAAATCATGACCCGTCTACTATGAACAAATGATTTCTTATTCAATTATAAGTTCTTTAACAGTTGCTGGCATCCAGGGGTACAATGTGTACATACGCCATTCACATTATCCAATAATATAAAGGATGGCAATGGAAGAAACTTGGGTTAAGTGCCAGGCTGCATAAGGGGGGCAACATTTGGATTTGAAGAAGCAACAAACTGTCTTTAATCCAGCAGAGCCCTGCATATCAATTGTCCACACTACTGCCTGTTGGAATATTATATTAGGAAGTCCCCGCACATTGTAATCATGCTCTGCCTCTTTCCGAAACAGATGTCTGAAATAGTATTTCATTGTTAATGGATATAATTACAAATTCAATTTCCATCATGCATATTTAAATATAGGGTACTTATTCCATGAACATAGAGAAATACAATTTGAGTCCAAAATACAATTTCAGATGTTTATGTGCGATATTATGTTGGTGACATGGGGCACTCTCCGCCATTGTGGTTGTTGATCCCGAAAAGGGGAGACAAATTGTTCATTCCTTTTTAGGAAATCAGCACACAGCCGTCCGTAGCTGTCCTGTTAAAATAAAAGG